AAAATCAAAATCTAAACCAAGAACTGAAGAGTAGATAGGTGGTTGGTGGTAGGGTAGAAGTGATCTAATGAGTGTTCTGTGAGCAGACTAGAAGGAGAGAGGGGGCACCATTTGGGAGGAACTGGAGTGAAGGTGCAGGTTTGGGGAAGGGAACGGGTTCATTTTTTTTTTTTTTAAGTTGTTTTTGTTTGTTTGTTTTGTAATCTCTATGCCCAACTTGAGGCTCAAATTTACAACCCCAAGATTGAGAGTCACATGCTCTTCCTTTTTTTTTTTAAGAATTTATTTATTTATTTATTTATTTGTTTATTTATTTATTTATTTATTTTTATTTATTTATTTGACAGAGAGAGACACAGGGAGAGAGGGAACACAAGCAGGGGGAGTGGGAGAGGGAGAAGCAGGCTTCCCCTGGAGCAGGGAGCCCGATGTGGGGCTCGATCCCAGGACCCTGGGATCATGACCTGAGCTGAAGGTAGACGCTTAATGACTGAGCCACCCAGGCGCCCCTAGTCACATGCTCTTCTGAAGGAGCCATCCAGGCCCCTCTAGTGAGCAGGTTTTGAGTGGCCTGTGGCAGGGGCCATTCATGCCTTGGACTCATGGACTTACCGAGAGCTTTTGGATTTGACCTTGAAGAGAAGAATTCCATGCAGATTTCACACTGAAAATGTTGTCTTGCCACAGAGTGGGTAATGGATTGGAGGGGCTGGAGTGGAGGTGGCTATCTACCAGGGAGATATGAGGTGAGACTCATCTGCAGTGAAGGGCCACACAGGTCTGTGTCTGCCATTGTAACTGAACTACATGAATTCGCTCCTTGGTGAATCACGGAAACTACACCAGGTGGAGTTGTCACACAAAGGAAATTATATTTGCAGCAAAGAAGGAGATTACAGGGAATAACTTCCAACCTTGACTCCAAGAGCAAGGGTCAACTGGGTGCCCCCTAGGGTTAGGATGAATAGAAATGGGAGCCTTGGGTGCCTAGCTGGCTCAGTCAAAAAAGCATGGGACTTTTGATCTCAGGGTCATGTGTTTGAGCCCCACAGTAGGTGTAGAGATTACATACATACATACATACATAAATAAATAAACAAACTTAAAAAAAGAAGAAGAAAAAGAAATGGGAGCCTTGTCATCGTACGTAGAAATAGGCATAAGGTCATGTATGTGCCTTAGGGACACATGCCTATACATACCTTGCATGTTATGTAAATGAGGATTCTGCTTCTCCTTGGGTGGAGACTTTACTATTATGATGAGGTGAAGGTACCTGTCAGTGACTCCATGGGTCACTCCATGGTCCATCTGCCCAGGCATGAGTCAGGGGTTAAGCTCAAACTGGTCTGGGTGGTCTGGGTTGCCAGAACTCTTCATCCAGGCAGTCGTTATTGCTTGAGTTTTGGTTTCCATCACAGGATGTTGTGTCCAGGGGTCTTTTGCCTGAGTTAAGAGATAAGCTGGAAAGGAGAGCTTCGGGAAAAATGTGGGACAAAATTTGATGGGTACTAACAGGAGAGCAGTAAAGTTCAAGTCTTGGGGTCTAGCTGGTGACACTGGGACTATGCTCTCAGAGCTGAGTTCTAAAGCCCAGAGCTTGTGTGTATCTTCCTGATTTCTAGGGGGCCTATAATCTTCTGGGATTTGGGAAAGCCTCTGCTCTAGCATGGGATGGTCTTCATAAAGATGAAACTCTCAGGAACCTGGAGGGACCCAGGCAGTGAATCATTAGTCTGAGTCCAAATGGAGACAGCAATGGCCAGTCTGGGAGACCCAAGGATACAGATTATTTTCCCTTGACAACAGCCAATGAGAAGATGAGAAGACAGGGAATGTTTTCTGTCTCTGGAAGTCTCTGGGGGAACTTGGACTGGGAAGACACAAGTCTTCCAGGCTGTTCCTTGGGCTGGCCTGGAATCCTGGTTTTGTGTCTGTCTGGTACCCGACTCTGCGAGCCCTATGGATTACACTGGGCCTGTGTCTTTGGGTTCAACAGGCCCAGGTCACTAAAGCTGACCAGTACCTGGAGGGTTCTGACCTGTGAGGAAGGAGCCCAAAAGAGGCCCTGGTTCCAGCTCTTCTCCATACTGCTTTATTGGCTTAGGAAATCACTGGAACACTTCTGGCCTCAGTTTTGTTATCAATAAAACAGGCTTAACTAATGATCTCTGAGGCATTGTTTCCACAAGTGCCTGGAAGGATGGTGATGATGATAAACATAATGGTTAACATTCATTTTTTGCTTTGCTTTTTTTTCTTTTAAAATCATGTTTATTGGGGCGCCTGGGTGGCTCAGTCGTTAAGCGTCTGCCTTTGGCTCAGGTCATAGTCCCAGGGTCCTGGGATCGAGCCCCGCATCGGGCTCCCTGCTCTGCAGGAAGCCTGCTTCTCCCTCTCCCACTCCCCCTGCTTGTGTTCCCTCTCTTGCTATATGTCTCTCTGTCAAATAAATAAATAAATAAATAAATAAAATCTTTTTTTTAAACAGATCTTTTTTTTTAAGATTTTATTTATTTATTTGAGAGAGAGAATGAGAGATAGAGAGCATGAGAGGGAAGAGGGTCAGAGGGAGAAGCAGACTCCCTGCTGAGCAGGGAGCCCGATGTGGGACTCGATCCCAGGACTCCGGGATCATGACCTGAGCCGAAGGCAGTTGCTTAACCATCTGAGCCACCCAGGTGCCCCAGTAAATAAAATCTTTTAAAAAAATCATGTTTATTGAGGTATGACATAGATGCAATAAAAATGCACAAATTTTGGGGCACCTAGCTGGCTCAGTCGGTAGAACATGCAATTCTTGATCTTGGGTTGTGAGTTTGAGCCCTAGGTTGGGTGTAGAGATTACTTAAAAATAAAATCTTTTAAAAAATTCACAAATCTTAAGCATTCAGTTTAATAAATTTTGAAAATTGTCTATAAAAATATAACTATCACCACAATCAAGTTAGGGATACCTGGGTGGCTCAGTCAGTTAAGCATCTGCCTTCAGCTCAGGTCGTGATCCCAGGGTCCTGGGATTGAGCCCCGCATCGGGCTCCTTGCTCAGCAGGGAGCCTGCTTCTCCCTCTGCCTGCCGCTCCCCCTGCTGTGCTCTCTCTCTCTCTCTCCCCCTCTCTGACAAATAAATAAAATCTTTAAAAAAATTACAAATCACCACAATCAAGTTATAGAACCTTTCCATCACCCCAAAGTATTCCCTTGTACTTCTTCATAGTCAATCCCTTCCCTTCTCTCCCTGCCCCAGGAAAAACTGTTCTGATTTATATTACTATAGATTAGCTTTGCCTTTTTTAGAATTTCATGTAAGTGGAATCATACAGTATGAACTCTCTGGGGTCCGACTTTTTTAAAAAAGATTTTCTTTATTTATTTGAGAGAGAGAGAGAGAGAACAAGAGAGAGCACGAGCAGGGTGAAGGGCAGAGGGAGAAGCAGACTCCCCACCAAGCAGGGAGCCCAATGTGGGACTCAATCCCAGGACTCCAGGATCATTATCTGAGTTGAAGGCACTTAACCAACAGAGCCACCCAGGTGCCCTCAGGCCTGACTTTTTTTGCTTAACATAGTACATTTGAGATTTAGTGGTGGTGGTGTGCATACTAGCTGTTCACTCTTTTAAAAAAATTTTTTTTGGGGGGGCGCCTGGGTGGCTCAGTCTTTAAGCATCTGCCTTCAGATCAGGTTGTGATCCCGGGGTCCTGGGATCGAGCCCCGCATCAAGCCCCGCATGGGGCTTCCTGCTCCGTGGGAGGCCTGCTTATCCCTCTCCCACTCCCCCTGGTTGTGTTCCCCCTCTCGCTGTGTCTCTCTCTGTCAAATAAATAAATAAAATCTTTAAAATAAATAAATAAACAAATAAAATCTTAAAAAAAATTTTTTTGGTATTCATATTTACCATTTTACTCATTTTAAGTGTATAAGTCAGTGACATTAAGTATATTCATAATATTGTATAATCAACACTACTATTTCCAGAATTTTTTTCATCATCCTAAACAGAAACTTTGTACCTGTTAAACAATAACTTTATTTCCCCTCACCCCCAGGCCCTGGGGACCTCTATTTTACTTTCTGTCTCTATGAATTCGCCTATTCTAAGTACCTCATGTAAATGGAATCATAATACAATGTTCCTTCATTATCTGTTTTCTTTTTTCACTTAGCATGATAATTTCAATGTTCACACTAAAGCATTTATCAGTTTCATTCATCTTGAAGGCTGAGTAATTCCATTGTATGTATATACCACTATTTGTTTACCCATTCATATGTTGATAGATACTTGGATTTGCTCATTTTTTTTTTATTGCTAAACACTATTCCATTGTATGGATACACCACAATTAGTTTATCTGTTCATCTCATGGACATTTGGATTATTTCCTATTTCTGGCTATTAAGAACAGTCCTTGAGCGGGCCTATGCATTCATTTCTCTTGGGTAAATACTTAGGAGTACAATGGCTGGATCACATTGTAGGCATGAATTTAGTTTTTAAAGAAATGCCAAGCTTCTTCAAAATGGTTGGAAATTATCAATGGACCGCTCCACAGCCTTGTCAGTCTTTAATTTTAGCCTCTTCCGTGGGGTTGTGGGAGTTCTGATTAGAATGTCCCTGATGAATAATCGTATTAAGCATCTTTTCATGGGTTTATTCGCTATTTATATTCTTTTGTGACTTATCTGTTCAAATCCTTTGTCCATAAAAAAAAGGGGGGGTGTTCATACCTATTTTTGGAATTAATGTCTGCCGGGCACTATGCTCATTAGTGCTCATGGCTTTATCTGCTTTAACTAACCACCGCCCCGCACAGCGGTAATAACGGAGCAAGATTGGCTGGCGGAGAAGGGTCGGGATCGCTCGGATACCGAAGGACTCGGACGTTTCTGGGCAGGGCCCACAGCTCTTGAAGGCTCCCGCCATGATTGGCTGAAGGAGCACTTCCTCAGGCACTTCCGACTCCCGGCCAGCCCAGAGCATCAGTAATTGGCTGAGCTGGCCCAGCGCGAGTCTTTCCGGGAGTTGTAGTTCTTGGGGCTCTGTTGGGGACGCCGGGAAGGACCAGTGGTCAGAGGCCAGGAGCGGCAGTTGGGCTTGGTCGAGGCTGCTGACACTATGTCCCGCGTGTCGGTGCCCTGCCATGTGAAAGGCACGGTGGCCCTGCAGGTGGGCGACGTGCGAACCTCCCAAGGCCGGCCTGGTGTGCTGGTCATCGATGTCACCTTCCCCAGCGTCGCGCCCTTCGAGGTGAGCAAGCCCCGTGGGCGCGACCGGGGCTCCTGGGCGGGGCTCACCTGGGAACTCGGGCGTGTCCCAGGCATTTAATCTTTTACCGAAAGACTCTGCAGCGTCCTCGCCCTTGCAAATCAGTTAACCATTCATTTATTACTTCAGTAAACACATATTTACTAGAATGCAGTTTTCTGTCCTGTTCTCTTCAACGACTCTCCCCGATGTCCAGGACAGCGCAGGCGTAGAAGTGCCAAGATAGTAGGGTGATGCTGGAAATACAATTGTGAACCAAACAGAGGTGAAAGGTCATTTTGTTCCTGGCCACTGGGCTGGGGATCATTAGACAATGAGTTACCCCCAAACCTGCCTCCTGCCCATTCCCTACAGTCCCTGCTGGAGGTCAGGATCATCCCAATGGCGCCAGTTTCCAATCTCCAGTTGCCCATCCACATCTGCGGGCAGAGTGACTGACACTACAAGACCTCAGCACAGAGAACAAAGTCCACTTTCTGATGGCTTGGCATTTAGAGCCACTCTGTGTCTGTGCCCTGCCTGCCTTTTGACCCCATGCACTTTGTCCCATAGTATGTGGTCCTCTTCCAAGCTGTTCCTTACCATAAGCTGGGAAACTTCATTAAAGGGCCCAACCCTGTAAATACTGATTCATTAGGTCTGGGGTGGAGCCTGTACATTTATATTAAAAACAAAAAAACAAAAAACAAACCTTACTTGGGTGATTCTGATGAGTGTCCAGTGATGAGAATTGCTGTAGCCAGGCTGAATCTTTGCTGTTTCATCCTTTGGTGCCCCTTTGCTTATGATAAATTTTTTTTTAAGATTTTTATTTATTTATTTGACAGAGAGAGAGAGACAGTGAGAGAGGGAACACAAGCAGGGGGAGTGGGAGAGGGAGAAGCAGGCTTCCTACGGAGCAGGGAGCCCGATGCAGGGCTCCATCCCAGGACCCTGGGATCATGACCTGAGCCGAAGGCAGACGCTTAACGACTGAGCCACCCAGGTGCCCTTGCTTGTGATACTTTTACACTCTCTCTGTCCTAGTCCACTTGGTGAACTCCTCCTTCTTGAGGCCTCATTTGTACATTTTCTGCCTTCTCCAGAGTTAAGGTTCTGGCAGCATCTTAGACTTGTGAAAAAGATCTGTGGTCATGGTTTATTTGCATGACCTGCTCATTTGGACTGTGTGCTCTTCTAGGAAAGTGAAATTGTCTTTGGGCCCCGGTGGGTGCTTGTTGAAATTGCTAGATTGGTAGATGAGCACCTTCCTAAGGGGAGGAGGAGATGGTACATGGTACATTTGAGCCTCTCAGGCCTCGGGCCTGGGTTTGATTTATTATGGTGGGTTGTGTGTGCTCTAGTTACAGGAGATCATGTTTAAGAATTACTACACAGCCTTTCTGAGTATCCGTGTTCGCCAGCACAGCTCACCGCACACACCAGCCAAGTGGGTGACTTGCCTGCGGGACTACTGCCTCATGCCCGACCCGCACAGTGAGGAGGGAGCCCAGGAGTATGTATCGTTGTTCAAGCACCAGGTCAGCGGGGACTCAGCATGGCTAGGGAAGTCCAGATGAGGGCTCTCAGGGGGCCTGGGGATTGGACCAGGATACCTGGAGGGAAGAGGGGAGGTAAGGCTGGCCTGGGCTTGTACCTTGGAGGGATTACTGTTCTTTCCTTCCTAAAGGCTTGGGGAGGCAGTGTTTTGGGTCACTGCTGATTGGGAGGCTCTTGGGCAGTGAGCTAGGACCTCGCTGGGTCCTTGTGTGTGTGTGTATCTATGTCAGATGCTGTGTGACATGGCCAGAGTACTGGAGCTGCGCCTGATTCTGCGACAGCCATCACCACTGTGGGTGTCTTTCACAGTGGAGGAACTGCAGATTTACCAGCAGGGACCAAAGGTAAGTGGCCAGCTCAGGGCTGTTGGTTGGCCCTTTCTTTAGGAGGCTCTTAGCTATGGCTAGGAGAGCTGGGTGTGGGGCTGGGAGTGGACGGTAGGACTCAGAAGGAAACTAGCCAGGAGGGAATGTTGGAAGCTAAGGGTGAGCGGTGAGGTCATGTCCTCATATCCCCTGACCTTTGAGGCCACCTGCCTCTCTCAGAGCTTGAGCCTTCAAGTGCTGGGAGATGCTTCTGTTCCTTGTGTTCCTGGGGCCTCCTGCATAGCAGAAGAGCTTAGGTAGTCTCTAAGCTCTTAGGTAGTCTGACTGCCCCTTACACCTCATGGACCCCTGAACAGGGTCTTCTCAGTGTTTGAAGCTCAGGTGCCCTTCTGTCTTCTCTGAGGACCTTGGAATCTGGTCCTAGGGCTTTTCCACTCTGCCTCCTTCAGGGCCGTATGCTTTTGCTTTGCAGAGTCCCTCCATGACCTTCCCCAAGTGGCTCTCCCACCCAGTGCCTTGTGAGCAGCCTGCTCCCCTCATTGAGGTAAGCCCTCATCGTGGGTCAGAACCATGTGTGAAAAGCTCTTGTGTCCAGCACAGGCCCAGGCGGGCCTCTTTCTACAAGAATTTGGGGCTGGACCCAGGGCCCTTTGTTCACTTTGTGCCATCTTCCTCTTGGGTGGTCCTTGGGATTTGAGCCATATCTGAATGGGGCTGGGCTGCCTCCTGCACATCGGGCCCCAACCTCATGTTTTGCAAGTCATCTGGGAATGTTACTGGTCTCAGTTGGAGGGCCCCATAGCCCAACTTGGTCTCTCTGGAGCTTTAAGGGCACTGCTGGGGAGATACCCATAGCCACTGACCCCTCCTTCTGGAGCAGGGTCTCCCAGACCCCAGCAGGGTATCCTCTGAGGTGCAGCAGATGTGGGCGCTGACAGAGATGATCCGGGCCAGTCACACCTCCACAAGGATCGGCCGCTTTGATGTGAGTGATTGCTTCCCTCTGCTTTGCTCCCGTTGCCCTGAGCGGGTCAGATCTGATGGTCTTTTGTTTTGCAGGTGGATGGCTGTTACGACCTGAACTTGCTCTCCTACACTTGAACTGTGGCTGTGAGCCAAGATGTTGGCCTTCCGTGCCCACCCAGACCCGGTTTGGGCCACCAGAGGCTGGAGTGCTTTCCCTGTGCATTCCGAGTGTTGCCTGCATGCTCACTGGGTCTGGGCCACGTTCACAGATTCAAGATTCCTGGGGGCTCACTGTGTTGCTTCAGCATGAGCTCTTGGCAGGGGTGTACTCTGCCCTCATCCGACTGTAACCCAAAACTCCTTTTCCTACCCTAAAAACATTTCAGTTCTACATACTAAGAATCCCCTTGTGCCCTCTGCTCCTTCTGCCAACATGCACATTCCAGACTCCTGCCTGCTCCTTCACCCTGAGTGCAGTGGGTTGGGGTGACCTACTAAACCTGCTCTAGCTGTTGCTAGAAGGCTGCTGTAGCCATCGCACTCATGTAGTTTGGAAGCTTGAGGAAAAACAGGAGCCCATTTCTTCCTTCTGCGCCCTCTAGTGGTCTTCTTTCCCTTTGTGTTACGCCCCTAAGAAGAAATTTCCTGTCTTAACTCCTGCTGCCTGCCTAGGGAGCAAAGCTGGAGATTTGGGCAGCCTGAATCCCTTGGTCCCTGAGCTCGCTCCTGGATGTGTGTTCAAATGGGTCTGCCCATCCAGCCTGGGCAGGTGCCTCCGGCAAGGCCAGGGTGCGAGAATGAGTTCCGGGACCTTTGTGCCCAACGCACATTCTTGTCCATTTTCCCAGCTGCCCCCTTCCAAAAGTCATGCTCAGTGTGATGAAAGATCAGCCTTGGTAGGGTGTGGGTCCAGGTGAGCGCTCTCAGAGAGGCTGAGGTCTGCTACAACCCCAGGCCTGCTGCTGAATAAGGCAGGCTGCTCTTACGAGAAAGTCTTCCTTTTCTGTTTTTTCCTGGCTTTGCCCCCCGGGGCTATGATGCAGCAGTACTGTAACTTGCGCTAGACCTGGAAAATTGGACCTCTGTGGGGCTCAACAGCTTTCTGGAGGAAGGTCAGCCCCCTGTGGTGGCCACCCTCTGCTTGTACTAGAGTTCTTGCAGGTGTTGCCCGCATGGTCATTTACTTCGCCCCATTCAGCTTCTGTTAAGAGGGTAATGATCACAATCCTGTACTCAGGGAGTAGCAGCCCTCAGAGAGAGAGAGTGTGAAAGAGAGAATGTGTGTGTGTAAGAGAGTGGGGGGAGGTCCCTGGGGCGGTGGTGGGGACTGCTTCATTCATACCCAGCACAGGGCCTAGTATGCAGCAAGATCAATAAATACTTGTGGAAAGCAAGACTACTCGCTACCTGTGTCCTCCCAGTGGGAAAGCCGGAGACCCTCACTAGAGGCCAGATTACTGATGTGCTCCGCCTGCCAGGCCGGCTCCACCCTCCTGCGTCCTCTCCACCCCCTCCCCTCCTCCCATGTGACCCTACACTCCTGATGTCCTGAATGCGCAATTCAGGCCTTTTGGCCCTTTATAGAACTTTGACCTTCTGGAGGCAGGGCAGTCAGCAAGGGGAGGTCTAGCCCCTAGCTCTGTCTCAGAGCAGCTTAACTGGTTTGGACTGCCTAATCGACCCTGGAAGATGAACTGGAAGTGCCTGGGGCTGTTTCCCTACAGATTGGAGTCACTGCACACTGCTTGAAAGCCCCGCCTGCCCTTGGGGCTGCCTGCCTTTGGGGCTGCCCGCCCCTTCTGATCCCCTTTGTGGGAGAGAGACCTGTCCAAGCAGAGCCGGGACTACATCTCCCAGCGTGCCTGGCAGAGTGGTGGCCTCTGTGTGCCGGCTGCACCGGTTGCGGGCAACAATGCAGCGGGCAGTGAGCATGGTGGCCCATCTGGGCTTGCAGCTGCGGGCACTCCCGTCGGCCCTGGGCCGTCCGTTCAGTTGTGCACAGGTGGGATCGAGGGTTCCGGGGCATGGTGCCAGTTTTGGAGGTGGGGGAGGGAGGAGGGTGGAGGCCGGGACACTGGTGGCCCTGAACCCGGCCACCCGCAGGACGTGCTCCGCAGGACACCACTCTATGACTTCCACCTGGCTCATGGCGGGAAGATGGTGGCGTTTGCAGGCTGGAGTCTGCCTGTGCAGTACCGGGACAGCCACGTGGACTCACACCTGCACACACGCCGGCACTGCTCGCTCTTTGACGTGTCCCACATGCTGCAGGTGAGCCTGGGGAGCATGCCGGCTGCCCGATCAGGGCTTCCTCCCTGTCTACAGTGGTGCAACCCTTGGCTTTGTGGGGAGCTGGATTCCAAGGGCCACCATCCTCGTAGAAGAGGTAGGTCCCCGGTGTCGTAGACTATGGCCCCCAGGAAATGAACTCAGAGGGTCTCTTGGTTGTCTCCTCTTCAATCTCTTCAGCCTGCTCCCACTCAGTGGTGTGTGCCTCTGTGTCCTGGGTTCCCCAGGGCTGGCGCCCATTCCCATCGAGTCTCCTGGGTGTTGGTTTGGAAAAGGCGGTATTTCAGGATGGTGCTGGGCCCTTTCAAGTTCCCTAACCTCCCCCACTGCACTCTCTCCTGTAGTGGCGGAGGTGGGGGAATCAGAAGGTGGGGCTCTGCCATCTGCAGAATCAAAGGACTTCTCAGGCATTTTGGCTGAGTCGGACTGGATTGTGAACAGCAGGGAGGGTGCCTCCTTGCCCAGTGGCCTGAGGTTTTTGATCTCTTTCCCAGACCAAGATACTTGGTTGTGATCGGGTGAAGCTGATGGAGAGTCTAGTGGTTGGAGATATTGCAGAGCTAAGGCCAAACCAGGTGGGTCCCTCTTCTCTCGTATTTCTGCTCAGTGGGTGTTCTTAGTCTTAAGCCAGCAAATGGGAGGGGTGGGGGCGCAGCCAAGGCTCAGACACAGCATCTCAGGGCTTGCAGTCTTGGGGGATGGGGTCCCTGAATCATGTCCAGACGTCCAGTTATCTGCAGGGAGGGGGCTTATTCCGTCCTTAACCACATCAGGCTGGAAAGCCAGAAACCCAGGTTTATGTCCTGTTTTGTGACCTTCCATGCTGTCAGACCCCTTGCAATGCAAAGGTAGTCCCTAATCCAGCAGCCTCATCATCACCAAGAGCTTGTTAGGAATACACTCTCAGGCCCTGCTCCAGACCTGCTGAATCAGAACCTGCGTTTTAACAAGATCCCCAGGTGATTCACGTGATCTCGCAACCTCAGGCTGTGTCCATCCAGTGGGGAGGCTGTGAGGCCAGCCTCACGGTATTTTGGAGTATTGCTGTGGCACTCATGGGATCACCAGGATGGACTTTGAAGTCTCTGTCTTGGGGTTTGGGGCATGGACTGAGTTGTCTCAGGTCTGGGTGGGATGAAGCAAGTCCTAGATGTCCTGGATTAAGTGTGAAGTGGGGCTATCAGTACTGAATGGGGAGAAGTGCAGAGGCCCCACCAGGTCAGGGAGGTCTCCCAAGATGGGGAAGGGGAAAAAACTTTTCTCAATGCAGGAGGATCAAAAACCCTGGGCTGGGCAGGGGCCTGGGCTTACCTAGCCTTGCTGCTTGCTCCTCCTCCCCTCCCAGCCCTTTGCCTGAAGGTTCATGAATTTGTGGTGGCTGAGTGGGCCAGGGGTGCGTCTGACTCATTCTTGACCTGAGCCTCCTGGACCTGGAGGCAAAGATGTTCCACTTTGGCACTAGGGGACACTGTCGCTGTTTACCAATGAGGCTGGAGGTATCTTAGATGACTTGATTGTGACCAGCACCTCTGAGGGGTACCTGTATGTGGTGTCCAACGCTGGCTGCTGGGACAAGGATGTGGCTCTCATGCAGGTATGGCCCCTCTGTGTTCTAGGTAACCTGTCTTCTTTGCTCACAGAGCAGCATCCTTGTTGTCCAGGACAGACCTGGCAGGGACAAGGGGCTCAGACAATGGGTCTTTGAGTGAGTGAACAGCAGGCCAGAGTGGGCCCTCCATGGAGAATGCCAGGTTTCAGTGATGGGGGGAGTAGGGAAAGTGAGACTGGCCCCAGTTCCCAAGCAAGCATCCTCTGGTGAAGGTGGAGGCTGGAGCCCGATGTGAACACTGGCAGACCTGGGCTTGGGTCATTCTTACCACTTAGTTATATGACCTTGTAAGATGGAACACAGTCTACTCTGCCTTAGCTCTTCAGCTCTCAGCCCGCAGTAGGTGCTCAGTAAGCAGTCCCAGAAGCTCATGTGGTGTTTCTGTCTTTCCTTTCAGGACAAGGTCAGGGAGCTTCAGAACATGGGCAGTGACGTGAGCCTGGAGGTGGTAGATAATGCCTTGCTAGCCCTGCAAGGTGAGCAGGCCAGGCTAGGGTTGGAGCCGACCTTTGCCTTGCTGGCTTTTTTGACTGCTCAGCACAGGGGCCATTCCAGGAGGGAGGTGTGGATGGTGTCGTATTTGTGTGCCATAATTCTGAGTTTGCAATTAGGCCCTCCCTCCACCTGCTACGAGGCTCAGGGCCTGTGGGCGAGAACATCTCTCTGACCTGCAGAGTAGGACTTGCTCAGGGCTTATTCTGGCCCCTGAGTAGGGGCTGTGGTCCAGCTTTGAGGGGAAACTGGGACCTGGACACTGGGTCACTGGCTTCCTGGGCCTAGGCCCCACTGCGGCGCAGGTTTTGCAGGCTGGCGTGGCAGATGACCTGAGGAAATTGCCCTTCATGACCAGTGCTGTGATGGAGGTGTTTGGTGTGTCCGGCTGCCGTGTGACCCGCTGTGGCTACACAGGGGAGGACGGTGTGGAGGTATGTCAAAATGTCAAGAAGTGGGTGTAGGGTAGTGTAGGGCACAGGACTCTGGAGCCAGTTGCCCGCCTGCTCTCTGGTGTTGCATGTAGATCTCGGTGCCGGCGGCAGCGGCAGTCCACCTGGCAACAGCTCTGCTGGAAAACCCAGAGGTGAAGCTGGCGGGGCTGGCGGCCCGGGACAGCCTGCGCCTGGAGGCAGGCCTCTGCCTGTATGGGAGTGACATCGATGAACACACCACACCTGTAGAAGGCAGCCTCAGCTGGACATTGGGTGAGTTGGGCTAGCACTCAGGGATAGAATCCCGAAGACTGGAGTGGCCAGCCCATGACTACTCCCAAGGCTGTGTACCCTGGAGCAAGTGACTCAGCCTCCCTAAGCCTCCTTTCCCTGAAGGTTTGATTGTGGCTTTGCCCATTAGACGCTGAGGATCTTCAGCAGGCTGAGGTGGGCAGCACAGCCTCTAAGACCTGGGGACGGGACGTGGGTGGCTGACTGCATTGCAGGGGAGAAATGGGGCTTGGGGGAACCTGAGCAAAGGGCCCTCACTGCTGGATGGATGTTACTTGGGGTCTTTGTAACTAGGACCTCCTGTGGCCGGGGGTCTTATGGACTGTAGCTTAATCCTGGTGTGTCATGCTTCAGGGAAGCGCCGCCGAGCCGCCATGGATTTCCCTGGAGCCTCGATCATTGTTGCCCAGCTGAAGGGCAAGGTGCAGCGGAGACGAGTGGGGTTAATGTGCGAGGGGGCGCCGATGCGGGCGCACAGTCCCATCCTGAATATGGAGGGCACTGTGATTGGTAGGTGGACCAGAAAAGTTGGAGAGCCCTTGTCCCTTCCCCAGGAAGGTGGGCATCGGACTGGCATGGTGATGCTGACATATGGCCTCTGCTCACACAGGTTCTGTGACCAGTGGCTGCCCCTCTCCCTGCCTGAAGAAGAATGTGGCCATGGGTTATGTGCCCTATGAGTACAGTCGGCCAGGTACCCCACTGCTGGTAGAGGTGCGGCGGAAGCAGCAAATGGCTGTGGTCAGCAAGATGCCTTTTGTGACCACAAATTACTATACCCTCAAGTGAAAGTGGCTTGGGACAGGGCCCTTCCCATCCAGGAGCCTGGACCTGAGGGCATTCTACAAGGGTTAGTCAGGAAGCTGAGACCGAATACATTGGGGGTAGGTGGCTAGGGTGGAGGTTGGTTCTGGTTGTCTGGTTGAGGGGGGCCCATACCACCTGTTCCCACCTGCCTCCTGTGCCTAACTTTAAAACCCCATTTCGGAGCAAGGGACCAGCTCATGCAATGTCAGCCTGTGGTCCCACGGACCCCATTCTTGTCTGCCTGCCGGAGGGCTGTAGGAAGCTTTAGTTCTGGCATCTGTCCCTTACACTCTGCCAGGTGCTGGCTGTGGAGCAGAGGCTCACATTTAGGGAGGGGATAGGCCTGCCCAGCCTACCTCACCATGGTTTCTCACACTGCAAGGGGCTTATTACCTTGGGTCGTGCCAGCCATCTCCTTCAGTTTACTTTCCATGAATGCAGACTGGGGCCTCTCCCTCGGTAGGAATGATTCCTGACTCACCGAGGGCTGGCCCTGTAGGGCTGCTGTGCCTGTGTAAACTCGGGGACAGCTGAGGAGACACAGACTCACTCTTCCACATTCCCAAGTTAGCCCAGCCTGCTGCCCAGTAGTAAACCATGCCAGGCTCACCACCTGTCCTGAGCCCCAGGGCTGTTGTAGGACAGGCGGGGCCTCCTCCTGGACTTGACTTACCCTGGCTGCCCTTTGCCCCTGGGGCCCATTACTGGACTCCACTGACTTCTAAAAAAACATTAAACGAGCTTCCTTTTCTTCTTGATTGCCAGTGTCTAGCTTCATTGTCCTTTGTCCACATGGTTCCTGGGGTGCCAGCCCAATGTCTGCTTGCCTGGCCTCTGAGGCAGGCTCAGAGTGGGTTCCCCCTGAGAGGGGCAGGTCTATAAAAACTGATAGTGCCCCTCCCTGTTAGGCACTCACCACTACTCCTCTAGGGAGCTGGTATCACCTATCCACCTCTGCAAGTCGTTGCATTCTGGGCGCTGAGGGGCAATGTTCCCTCTCCAGTCTCCCCTGTGCATGCACACCCTTGTCCTATCTCAATAATCACACAGCTGAGGCACTTCCATGTTTAATAAGCTACATCCTCAGTTGAACCTGGGGTGAAACGTGAGACCCTGGTTCTGCAGGGTGGTGTCAATGGGCAGGGCTGGGGCTACAAAACTGTCATCCTACCAGCCAGAAGGTAGCTCCGGAGGAAGTCCACGTCCATCAGTTCAGTGTGGTCCTACTTCCAGTGCACCTCTGCTGCCAAGGTGGCCAGCCAAAGGCTGCTAGATGGAAATGTGACCTCTAATAGAGCAAGCAGGCGGCAGGACACTGAGGTAGCTGGTGGCGCGGCAGAAGCAGGTAGGAGTATGGCCTTGGGAGGCAGTTCTAGCGGTACGCTGCTTTCAGAAACTGCATGTGCCACCCACACCTTTGTAAGCTCCCCCGGCCCACAGTGTAGGTGGCAGGCCCATGGCTCTTCCCGGTTGACAGTTCTTGGGGGGCTGAGATGGTGCTAGTGGGGAGACAGTGGCCTCTTAGGATGAGGCTCCTGTGGCTTCGGGTCAAGATGGGAAGTGATGAAGCTGCAGGGCGTGGTGGGATAGGGCGACTCCTCACTAACTGCTTAGTATCTCCCTGTGAGGGGGCAGGGTATAACCCCATGGGCACTTAAAAATGGTGGGGGTGGAAGGCCACCCCCCGGGGCTCAGCCTCTTTCAGGCACCCGGCTTCCCAACAAGGACTGAGAGAAGTACGAATGAGTTGATATCCAGGAAAAGACCATTTCCATAGCCTGACTCACAAATGGAAAGCTCTGGATGGGCCAGGGAGGTGGGTGTTTGGTGCCTCCAAGTCCAGTTTGGTGCCAGCTCCCCCCTGCCTTACACTTGAATGGGCCAGCTAAGTAACTACACAGTGTAAGGCCATGTCCAGTCCAGAATTCCCTGGCTCCCTGCCAACAAAGCAAAAACAAATTCAAGAAACCTAGAGCTTAGGGGAAAACAGGCTTCCCTTACAAATCCCAGAGCTGGTCAACCTTAAGTTTTCTCTCAGGACAAATTTCTATGGGGTCACATCCCAGGGGGATGGGAAGAGGGACAGGAAAAAGCCAAGGCAGAAAATGGACTGTTGGCCTCTCCAACCCAGAGGCTTCTGAGCTGACCCCTAAGAGAGGAGGGAGGAGCATGCCTTCTCCTTAAGGCACCCAGATCAGGGTAGAGGCAAACTTTACTGGCCCAATGCCTGGAGCTGATGGAGGCAAGGCCAAGCGCAGTGGAAGCCCAGGCCTGCAAGCACTGGGGTAATCCCTGCCCCCAACCCTGACCTCCCTGCCGTTGTCTCTGGGGTCTGAGCAGCAGCAGAACCCCGTGTGGGAACCAGCAGACCCGGTGATGTCCCTGGAGATCCCTCTGCTGCCTTCCCTTATTCTCTGTGGGTTTTGAGAGGTTCATTTGCTGTTGTTTCCCTAAAAGTGATGGAGAGAAGAGAGGGGTTATTCCACAGGCAGCCTAACAGTCCCTGATTGGCTCTCTAGCCCTTTAGGAGCTGAGGTGGGCTCAGTAAGGCCACACTACAACCTAGACCTCTCTACTGAGTTCCCATGGCCCACACTGGGTCCCCCACCTGTCTCTTGCCAACATGTTCTTCCTCCTGGTTCCTTGCCTTATCACGGTGTTCCTGTCTTTCCCCAGTTGCCCAGGACCTGGGCAGTGGCAGGCCTCCTAACTGGCCTCTTGCCTTCTCTATTGGACCCCTTTATCTTCTTGCCATGAAGCAGGCAGTTACAAAGACAAGTTAGATCAGGCTATAGCCTTGCTGAGTCCTTCAATAGCTTCCTAAGATTTAGGATAGGGTTTCATGGTCCCTCCATGCCTTCATGTTTGAGCTGCAGTGTCACAGCCTTGTCTAGTCTTCCAACATGACACCCTTGTTCTTGCCCTGGCTCTCGTGCTATCCATTCTCAGCCTGGTACATTTAACCACTCCCTAGCCTTTGCCCTCAGCTTAGCTGTCTGTTTTGGGAGACAACTCTGACTGCCCTCACCCTCTGCTCTACTGCCCCTTCCTTTTTATTTTTTATTTTTAGTTTTGTTCTGGTTTGTTTGTTTTTTGCTGCCCTCCCTTTTAAATGTCTGGCTCCCCCTGTAAACAGGGCCTGGGTTGTCCTTGTTCTCTGGACTTAGTGTGGCCCCGTCATATGGTAGGAGCTCAGAGATTAGTTGAAACAAATGCCCTGATTAGTGATTTGGTTTTACAGATGAGGAGGCTGACCCTGATGAGGCCAGTCAGTGCAGTAAGGACAGAGGCTCCTACCTTCCTAATTGAGGGGCTTGCAGTACAGTGGAACCCAAAAGACTTGCCATTTCATCTCTGAAATCACCACCAGCCTCACAGGTTGCTGAACAGCCTATTGATGGGCTGTTCAGAAACTGGTGTCACTTGAAGCCTGAGCTCTACTTGCAGGCCTTGGAGCTTGCTGCAAAGGCCACTAAACTGGTGGACTCCTGCCCTAAGAACTTCCCGTCCCTGTCCCTGTTCCCAGCACAGGTGTGTCCTCTGCCTGCCAAGCATGAGGTTGCCATGGGCACAGATTTACTCACCAAGAAGTGAAATGCGTGGAGCCATCAGGTGTGGATCCATTCTGGCCGCCCAGACCTGGGGGCAGGAACACATCCAAAGCTGCAGCAGGCTGAGGGTGGGGATCTGAGCAGGTATCAGCCCAGTGGTGTTGTCTGGTGGTCTCGTGGGGGCCCTAAAGGGACTAGTAGTGTCTGATGGAGGTTCAAGGGAACAGTTAAAATGTGATGGGTGGACCGGGGTTTCTGGCATGAAATGGTATGTTGGCATGGGTCAGGGCACAGCGTTAAATTGTGATAAGGTTCTCAGGGGACCAGTGGTAGTCTAGGGGGTTCTGGGGAGCCCAATGGTACAGTCCGGTGGGGGTGGGGAGCCTCACCTGGGCGGTGATACAGCCCTGTCACCGTACTCCCGTAGAACCCCCACGCCAGCTGGATGCCCAGGAGACTTAACACCAACCACAGTAGCAGCAGCTTGAAGAGGGTCACGCGCATGTCCTGCGCCTCCCACTCCCGCAGGAACTCGCTGCCTAGGGTGCCCAGCGCGCCCAGCACCGTGGTCGGTAGAGCCTGCAAGGACTGCCCAGACCAAGGCTCCGCCATGACTGGCCCATGCCCCACCCCGGGGACTGTCACTGTAGTCCCTACAGCGCAGGCGTCTGGTCTTCCGGGCCCAGGCCCATTAGTGCGCACGCGTAAGCCAGGCAACGTGAGCCTACTTCGCTTGCGCGAAGAGTTGGCAGTTTGGGGCGGAGTAATAAAACCGCGCACGCGCACTAGCCCCACCCTGCTTGCTTAAAGGATGAGTGAGCCGAGGAGCATAAAATAGCAACCAGGTCTTTTATAGCCCCGGAGTTCCCGTGATGCCCCACGCGGCTGCAGTGATTGGTTAAGCGCCTTGCTTTTAGGGCGTGGACGCGCTCCTGAGCAATCGTGGTTGAGCTGTGGGTGCGCGCGCGCGCGGGACCGCGACCGGTCCTGGCTCGAGCCCGCTGGCACACGGGGGCGCGCACGTCGCTCCCCGCCCTCCCGCCGCCGACCGCCCTCGCTCGCTCGCGCTCCCCGCCCGCCGTTCTTCGTCGGTTCTCTCGTTAGTCGGCTGCCGTCTCCTCAGCCACCCGCCCGTCTCCGAGCTTGCGACTCGCGGACAGGCGTCCTCGGCGCAGAGAGGCCGGACTGCGAGTCATCGCCTGAGGTGAGCGAGACGGTTCCCTCCTGGCGCTGCGGCGCCCCGCGCCCGCCCGCCCTCCCGGCACTCTTCCGGCCGCCCGCCGCCCCGCCGCGGCCGCGCCCCACCTGCTGCTCTCAGCCGGCTGCCCCTGTGCCCCGGCCCCTGCCCCTGCCTCCTGGCCCGGGCCCCGCTCCTCAAAGCGGCGGCCCCGCCCGCGCAGTCCCCGGAAGCGCGCCCCGCGGCCTCCCGCGCCCCTTCCCCCGCCCGGCCAGGCCTGGTGGAGCCCAAGCCGCCCGCCCGCGGTCCCCGGCTCTTCCTCTCTCACGGCTGTGCCGGGCAGGGCGGGGGCTTCGAGCCGGGCCCGGCGACCGCGCAGTGCAGCCGGCCCCGGCGAAGCGCGCGTGGCTGTCGAGAGTTGAAATGGGAAAGAAACTCTTTACAACTCCATCTTGGCTTTAACATTGAATATGAAACATGAATCACCGTTTTATACAGGGTGAAGTCCAGTTATGTTTTGGGTAGATTTTCTTTTTCAATGCAGTATTCTCGGAGGTTGTGTAAGTTAAGTAGTGTTGAAATCTTACGGGTTAGGATTCTTGGGTATTGGAAAGGGAATTTTCCAGTTGGAAACATTTTTTTTTTCATGGTTTAAACTGTGTTGCATTGAAGTAGAACATTAATTTGGAATTTTGCTTAGTCTAAGTTACTACCTTGATAGGAATCACCTAAACAGCTGTCCTTAGTTAGCGATTGAACCCAGTTAACAAGCCGTCTTTATTAAATAGCACTGTTTGCACGCAAATCGATTTGGTCAAAACAATGTTTAGTTTATGGTGTAAAATTGGCATCCTTTTTGCCTCAGCGTTGGTTTCACTTGTGGTTTTTAATGGTCCTGATTTAAAATTTTTACCAATATTGGTGACTTGTTTGCTTCTTTTTGTGTTTGTAAGTTTGTCTTTGAAGTAAATGTTTCTTGCAGGTGTGCAGTCAGATTATAGTCCACCCTCCCAGATCTGAAGGGAAAAAAATACTTTAAAAAAATTCTTAAAAATGTTATATGTGGCGAGAATTTTTCAATCACTTAAGTGTCAGATACCCAGATGTATAACATGTATATACCATTGCATGATTGTCACTTTAGATATGGCTAAGTTGGTAGAGATACTGGTTCGAGCATTGGGCGCAAGTGACCTGAAAGTACAAGACTAATTCCTAATCGTGAAGGATAATTTACTTAAAGATCTCTTTTGATAAATTGTCTGGAGAGTAGTTCCATCTACTTTTGTAGAGCAGTGGTGGCTCTTGGGGACCTAACAAAATAGAAGAAAACTTGCTTTAAGTCAGAGTCTAGTGCTAGAGTTTTGGCTTCTGTTCTCATAAAAATCTGTACTGGAGGGAAGAAGAGAATAGGAATCCACCAACTTTTTCATAGATCAAGAATTTTAGACCCAAAAGGAATCTTGAGGACTTATATGGTCCAACCCCATTCGCAGATGAGGAAACTGAGTCCCAGAGGCTTATGTAAATTTCCTAAGGTCATTTTTCTAGTTAGGTGCAGGCCAGAACTGTTTTCTCTTTAAGGTATTCTCCTTGTACTTTAAAACAGCTTGTTTAGAGTTAGGTAAAATTCAGGACTTATTTCCAGTGTTTTCTCCTTTTATGTGTTACTGATTTTATATATGTTGTGAGAATCTGAAAAATTCATTTTCTAAACAAATTTCAGTTCTCCATGAAACTGAATGGTTCTGCAGCACTTGATTGAAATACGTAAATGAATATATAGGGTCCCTGGTTGGCTTAATTTTAGCTTTAGGTGTTTGGTGTTTTGTTTTGTTTTTAAGATTTATTTATCCATTTAGAGAGAGTGAGTGAGTGTGGGAAGGGGTGGAGGGAGAGAGGAGAGAGAAACCTAGCAGACTCCTCCCTGAGCTCCAGGCTGACTCGGGGCCGATCCCACGACCCTGAGATCATGATTGAGCCAAAACCAAGAGTCAGATACTTAACTGACTGCACCGGCCAGGGGCCCCTGGGTGTTTGGGTCTTCTTGAGGAAACAACTTCTTCCAAAGGGAGGCCCAGACTCCCCTGTTCCAAATCCAACATAATTAGGTCAGGCTGAGATGTTATCATGTGACTGAGGGCTCTTCTGCCTATTGATTTGAGGTGGGATGGAGAGAAACACGTATCAAGTCAACAATTCCCTGTGTATGTGTGTGGTGGTAGTTTGTTGGAATGTTCTAGTCCTGATTCTTTTTTTTTTTTTTTAATTTTATTTATTTGAGAGAGAGAGAGAGAGAGCACGAGGGGGGAGGGTCAGAGGGAGAAGCAGACTCCCCACTGAGCGGGGAGCCCGATGCGGTACTCGATCCCGGGACTCCAGGATCATGACCTGAGCCGAAGGCAGTCGCTTAACCAACTGAGCCACCCAGGCGCCCTAGTCCTGATTCTTATTAGGAGAGTGAAAACAGGTAGATCTTGAGGTGTTTCCTGTCCATGGAGTAGAGTTCAAGCAGTGATAGGAGGAGTTGCTGCTTTGGGACTCCTTAGCTGTCCTAGAGCTGAGAGATTTATGTTAACTCTGTCAGAAGAAAGACTGATATTTCAACTTTTTTATTTTAAGATTTTATTTGATAGAGCGAGAGAGCACAAGCAGGGGGAACGGGAGAGGGAGAAGCACGTTCCCTGACAAGCAAGGAACCTGATGCGGGGCTCGATCCCGGGACCCTGGGATCCTGACCTGAGCCGAAGGCAGATGCTTAACCAGCTGAGCCACCCAGGCGCCCTAATATTTCAACTTCTAAGAGAACTAATTTGGGTTTGCTGAGCTTCTGTAGACAGCACTTTGGGTTTAATTGCACTAGTGACAGTGATAAATGGTACATAATCACTGGATTTTAATCACATATATTTGTACTTGTAAAAGGTACCTAAAAGTTATTTTTCTTCCTCTACCACTTAGTTTATCCTTTATCCCTGGCCAGTGGAACTTAGTTTGCCTGCACCTACACTTTAACGTAACTAAATTTTAAACATGTGTTAACGTGTCTTACCATATGTGCTCTTTGGGGATATGCTCGCTCTTAAGTACTTACGAGATTAATAAATTAAAATTTCCAAGACAGTTTAAAGTTAGTAATTACTGTAAAATTCCTATTTCAAGTGTTTCTATTTCAAATGACTCATTTTTAATCTGTGGTGCTGTAGTATTAAGTGAAGGCCTTGTATACTCATAATTAGGTAGTCATGTGACAAAATCAGATACGCATTGAGGCTGCTCATTCTGGGTGTTGGTCTGAATTTATTGGCGCTTCCTCCAGATGATCCTGGTTAACATTTTATAGTTAATAATGGTCAAAACATGAGATATATTCTGTTACATTGCAGCCAATTTGCAGTTTGTCCCAAATTGAGCTGTTTTTTTTAAATGAAGAGGGTGGATAAAGTAAATATGTTTAAGCATGTTTATAATAGTGTTTTACTATTCATGTGAAGGGAAAGAGAAGAACATAAGCAACCAAAATGTTTGGAGTGGAGTAAAGGGAGAAGTGGAAGGTAAAATGAAATTAGAGAGGTGGGTAGGGACCAAATCCTGTAGGGCCGTTAGGATATGGGAAGTTCTTTGGGTTTGTTCTGAAATGATAAATCATTAGATTTTTTTAGATCTTTATTTTTACTTATTTTTTTTAAAGATTTTTATTTATTTATTTGAGAGAGAGAGAATGAGAGAGAGCACATGAGATGGGGGGAGGGTCAGAGAGAGAAGCAGACTCCCCGCTGAGCGGGGAGCCTGATGCGGGACTCGATCCAGGGACTCCGGGATCATGACCTGAGCCGAAGGCAGTTGCTTAACCAACTGAGCCACCCAGGCGCCCGATTTTTTTAGATTTTTAAAGATTTTATTTATTTATTTGAAAGCGAGAGCACGCAAGTGGGGGGGGCGGCAGGGAGAGGGAGAAGCAGGCTCCCCGCTGAGCAGAGAGCCCAATGAGATGCAGGGCTTGATCCCAGGACCCTAGGATCATGACCTGAGCCTAAGGCAGATGTTTGACTGAGGCACCCAGGCGCCCCTCATTAGATGTTTGTTAGCAGGAGAATGATATGATCTGATATTAAACAAGAATCACTCTCCAAGAGTAGGAGTAGATCTGAGTCCATTCTGACTTCAAATAGTTAATATATATGTATATTTAATATTTATTTGTTAGCACAAGCAGAGGGAGCGGCAGGCAGAGGGAGAAGCAGACTCCTTGCTGAGCAAGGGGCCTGATGTGGGACTTGGTCCCAGGATGCTGGGATCATGACCTGAGCCGAAGGCAGATGCTTAACCAACTGAGCCACCCAGGCATCCCAGTAGTAAACTAATATTGATCATTTCTGACAAAAATATCAGAAAGATTTCCAAATATTATTTTCCTTGACCTAATGATTTCACCCTGATTTTTTGAAGCCATTGATTTTCGGACAGTTGCCTTTCAGCCTGTAA